AGTAGTCATCAGTATATCTAGATTTTATTTTTGTGCCATTACTGGGGCTTGAACTCGGGGCCTGAGTTCTGTCTCTTAGGTTTTTTTTTTTTTTTTCTCAAGGCTGGCACTATACCATTCGAGCCACAGATCCACTTTGAACTTTTTGGTGGTTAATTGGAGATAAGACTCCCACAGACTCTTTTTCCCAGGCTGGCTTCTAACTTTGATCCTCAGATCTCAGCTTTTTGAGTAGCTGGGACTACAAATGTGAGCCACTGGTACCTGGTAACCTTTTTGAGGAGGTATTTTTAAAGATTGAAGTCACCCATTGTTTCAGAAAAGAGAAGTTGGCAGAAAGAAGAGGTTGGGAGAAATTGGAGAAATTCCACTACAGAGAATAGAAGGGAGAGGGAAGAATGCATTGAAACTTGACGTTGATTGGTGAAAAGATGGAATCAGAAATGCCAGGTATACCAGTTGAGCTTTTGTAGGTGCTGCATTTGGAGGTTGTAGCACATCTGGAAGTGCATATCTGGAGGATAGAGAAGGAACCCCGGCTGATGGGATATGGGCTCTCAACCTAGTGTTGGTGACAGAGCCAGGTGAGGAGAGACCATTCCAGAACCCAGGAAACTATGAGGAGTCTTTAAGAATGTCAGCATAAGCGGGGGGGGGGGGGTGCCTGTGGATTACTCCTGTTTAACCTAGCAAATCAGGAGGCTGAAAACTGGGAATTGTGGTTCTGAAAAGACTGTGAGACATTTGTCTTCAATTAGTTAGTTAAGAAGCCGGAAGTGGAGGTGTGGCTCAAGTGGTAGGACACCAGCCTTGAGTGGAGAAAGCTAAGAGCTATTGTCCAATGAAACCCCAGTACTGATACACAAAAGAATGTCAGCATAACTTGTCCCATAAATACCTGATTGTGTGCACTTTTATTGAAAGTGGGCTTTGTGTGAGGCAAAAGAAATGGGACCAGTTTACTGAGAAGCCTACAGTGTTCCATCTAAATTCTACAAAATAGATTGTCATAGATCAATAGGAGGTTACCAAAACTCTTTATATAGAGTTGCATTTTATCTGTAGATCCTCAATTCACAGTTGTAGACAGCCCCATCCCATAGTTTTGCTTTGCTGTCTCCCCTCTTGTCTGATTCTAAGGAATTCTCTATTAGTAGTCACAGGATTTTCTTCTTGTTGATTAAATGTGCGGTCAATCCATCCTTGGTATAAAAATCCCTCCTCTTTTCTTGACCCTTAGCTCTCACCTCATCTCCTGCGCATTGCCTTGTCTGTGGCTGGATGATCTTTCTGTCCCTGCCTTAGAGCCTGTCTGAAGGATAGTTAATCAATATTTATGCATGGAGTGAGTGAATGATTGTGAGAAGTGTCAGCTGAGGAAAAGCAGGCAAAGAGCAGCAACGTGTCTAGTGCATGAGTATGAATTCTATGCGTGTAATTGTGTGCAGCAGGTGACACCATTGACTCTTCTCACCCTTGTGTCTTCCCAGCCTATCAATCCTGAGCTTTCTCCGCATTCTTCCCCTCATCTCCCTTCCCAGCTGGTCCCATCCTCCAGCTCACTCACTTTGGCCTCTACATCCTCTTGGAGAGACAGAATATGTAGGTTACCATGGAATGACGTTTTCCAGTTCCTTGGGCTTTTTCATACACATCCTCTCCCCAAAAGTCTACTTCTGTTGCACCTAAAGAATCATTTCTGATCTTTAGGACACTGAGCAACTTCCTACTAGAAAATCCCCAGAGAATGACAATCTTCTGGGAAGTTGCTTTTGAGCAATCAAGAGACTATGGGGTTCATAGAGCACATTCCTTGTCACACCATGGTCCTGTGGATTCTCTGTCAGCCCTTCATAAACCAGAGCCCGCCGTGATTGAACACTAGCTCTGGGTCTTGGTAGTATGCTAAGCACTTGATGTACATTACTTTGCCTTTCCAGTTTGGTTTTATTAGCATTCCTGTTTTATACTTTCCAACTCGCCTGAGGTCACACAGTTCCTGATTTGCAAGTGAGGATTTAAGCCCAGGTGGTCTAATTTCAGATTCCAGCCCTCTCCTTTGCTTTTATATTCAGTAGTGCCTCAGTAGCAGTTGGAGGGTCATAGAGTTAACTTTTATTCTTTAATGTTTGATTTGAGATTTTTAAGATAATATATGCAGTTATAGTTTAAGAAACTGGGACAGTTTCGCCTCGCCTTCCACCCCACTACTTCCTTTCATTTCCCTTAAGGCAACTACTGTTAGCAGTAGTTGTATTTTCAGTTGCATTTATCCATGAGATTTTTAAAAATCTCATAGTGTGTTTGTGATTCTCCTTTCAGCTTTTTGTCTCCTGAAAACTCAACTTCTTTGTTACTTGATAACAAGTTAGACAAGAAATGTACTTACTACCTTATGTATGTAACTGTGACCTCTCTATGCATCAACTTGACGATAAAATGTCCCTCCCCCACAATATAACCCCTGCTTTCACTGTATTTGATGTTGGTATAATTTGTGGAGGGGAAGGGAAAAAGCAAATCGTTTAAATAGGGATACAGGTGGACCCATTGCAACAAAGAGATGTACAAGTCGTTGTGTTGAAAAACGAACTTTACAACTTTGGAAGAAGGGGGGAGGGTGGTAGGGGGGAGGATGGGAAGGGATAGGAAGGGGAAACAAAGGAGGAGGCAACAATGCTTGATAAGAAATGTATTCATTATCTTGCCCATGTAATTGTAACTCCTCTGCACAGTATTTTCACAATTAAAAAAAAAGAAGAAAAAGAAAAAAAATTAAATACAAATGGTCCAAACACATCGCTAATGCATATGCTAATATATGTATATAATTGTGTGCATATTCTATCCATTCTCTCCATCTTTCATCCACCCACCCATCTACATGTCCATCCACCCATCCATTCATCCATCCCCAGAGAATGGTGTCCAACCTCTGGTCCAAGGCAGATTGCTGACGTTACTTAAGCTCTTTTCTGTTTGGAATCTGTAGACATAAGTTTCTGCCTGGAGGAAACTCCAAACTGATACATTCTTCAAGTTCCTAGTTTTGAAACTGTCTTTCACAATTCATCTATGACTGTATTACCTTGATACCTAAAGGGGAAAAAAAAAGAACAACAGCTCTTTCTGGCTAAGCACATGGGTCTCTGTGCTCCTTTGTAGACTCAAGAATCCAATGTGTTTTGAACAGTGCGACCAGAGTACTATGTGTATAGCTTTGCATTTCCCCCTTCCCTTCCTGAAGAAGAGCTTTGTAATTTTTAATCAGCAACACAAAAACTGTTTCTATGGAAATGGTCATACTTTTCAGTGTGCACGGGGAACATTTTTCCTAAAAAGCGAGGTCACCAGAAGCACAGAGCAGAGAAATCCCAGCTGGCACTAATATTTGATTTCATTTTTAGCACTCTCATATTCAGCAGATGGATGGCAAGGCTGACCTCTCTGACACTTCTGCCTCGCTGCCTGCTACTCCAATTGCCTTGCTGAATGTTTTTTCATAAGGCTTCTCTTGGTATCTCAAAGATTGATGCCTGGTCGCCTGCCTGTGTTATGCTTCATTACGCTGAGGCTCTGTGTCTGAGACTTGCTGTATTTTATAAAAGGGGGAAATCCTAGCTCATCAGTATCTCAGAACTTTTCCTACAGTCTCAAATTGTGTGGAACGTCTTGGAGTGTGTTCTTGTAGCCTTCTAGGTGTTACCTCTGATTCATATAACCATGTTTACCCTGTTCTGAATTTTCTGATCTCTTCTGTGTCATGGCTAATTTAAAATAATTTTAGATGTAGTTGTTCTGAACACTCTTACCAAAGACTGAGTGTGATTTTTGCTGGCTCTCTCATCTTACTGTAGCTCAAGTGGCTACTAAGAACACAGAGCTGGATTGGAGTTTTTCATTTATCATTTCCTTCGAGTTTTACTTCAGAGTAAATACAGTTTCCTTGTTTGTTGATGAGTACTGTTATTAATGATGGTTGCTTAGGACTGAGGTAAAAATTAAATGAAGGAATGAACATCAGGTGGGTATGTTAGGGTCTGGCACAGGCTAACTGCACTATGAAGTTAGTTTGAGGTATGCACACTAATTTTTTATTGTATATGTGTACACAACACAAGAGCTACATGATGCACATAATTTTGTACAGTTTGCATTTGGATTCTGAGGAAAGTGAATTGTTTGTTAAGGAAGAAGTTTGTGTGTGTGTGTGTGTGTGTGTCTGTGTGTGTGTGTCTGTGTACTGATACTGGGTTGACCTTAGAGCCTAGGCACTGTCCCTTAGTTGTTTTGCTCAAGATTGCTACTCTACCACTTGACCCACAGCTCCACTTCTGGGTTTTTGGTGGTTAATCGGAGACAATTGTCTCATAGATTTTCCTGCATGGTTGTTTTCAAACTGGGATCCTTAGATCTCAGCCTCTTGAATAGCTAGGATTATAAGCATGAGCCATCTGTGCCTGGATAGGAAAAAAAAAAAACTTAATGAAGAGATCAATGCATTGTTTTTTTAAATTCCTTTTTATAGACCATTCTGTAAACCACACAGCTCTTTAGAGATGAACTCTGGAAAGGCACTGCCTCCTACTAGTTTATATTTCAGTGGTAAGACATACTTCAGTGGTAAGACTAGAGAAAAGAAGCACACAGCGTGAATATCCTCAAGTTCCACTGTTTCCCAGTAGGCTGACCTGGGTGGTTCTAGAATCCTTGCAGTGCACAGTTCTGATTAGATTGCTCGTGACCTTCTGTTTTGCAGCTCCTTGCACAGCCAGAGTTTTTTGCATGCTTTAGTGCCTAACATATTTTTGGCTTATCATCCATTGGGTATTTGATAGGTTTTTTGGTTGTTTTTTTTTTTTTTTTTTGCCTGAATCAGATCTCTACTCCATGCAGTTTTGATGAATTTAGCCTTTAGAAATCTCAGTTTTAACTCTGTAGTGAAACTTTCTTGAACAAGTATCTTTTCCTCGAACAAGTATCTTTTTCTCTTTTTGCAGATCTAACATAAGGCCAGACTTCGCAGACTCCAATTGCCATGACTTCAAGATGCACACGTTCACTCGGGTCACGTCCTGCAAGGTCTGCCAGATGCTCCTGAGGTCAGCTTGCTCAGACCTGTTTCTCAGCTTAACCACACTACTATGATTGCTAAGTGTCTCAGGAGTTTCTAGCAACTGAGGCAGAATTTTCTAATGAGAAGATAGGCAATTGGGATCCAACAGATGATTATTAATGATCCCTGGACTTGGTCAATCAAGTCCTCTTCTTCTGTGGAGAGTACTTTGCAAAACACTGATATGACTCTCCCTTCTTGTGTTAATGATTTCATTCAGCCAGAATTTAACACCTTTTAATACATCACTCTCTAATTTTACCTTTCAGAGGAACATTTTATCAAGGCTATTTATGTTTCAAGTGTGGAGCAAGAGCCCACAAAGAATGTTTGGGAAGAGTAGACAGTTGTGGCCGAGCGAATTCTGGTGGTAAGTCAAGTTTATTGTTGGGATTCTGGTTTTAATGAGGATATAAAATTTGCTGCACATAATTAAAGCCTAATTTACTCTTTGGATATGTTTTTATTGTAACATATTTTCTTTTGATATAAGCACAATTGGAAATCTGTACAAAATACTTGTGGATTTTTTCTACATGACTTGCTTTTTAAAGTGTTTATAGTCTCATGACTATAATGCCAGCTACTCAGGACGCTGAGATTTGAGGATTGTGGTTGGAAGCCAGCCCAGGCAGGAAAGTCCAGCGAAAAGCCAGAAGTGGAGCTATGACTCAAGTGGTAGAGCACTAGCTAAGGGATAGGCAGAATCCAGGCTCTGAGTTCAAGCCCCAATGCACGCGTGAGCCCACATTCACACACACACACACACACACACACACACACACACACACACACCACACACACACACACACACACGCAACTTAAATAAAATGAAATATTTAAAATTTGTCAGGCTTCTATGTGGATTTAGGAAGCATACATCTTCAAGAGGGACCTGGATGGTTTATGTCACTTATTAACCTCAATTCTTTTTTTTTTTTTTGTCAGTCATGGGACTTGAACTCTGGGCCTGGGCGCTGTCCCTGAGCTTGTCAGCTCAAGGCAAGTAGCACTCTACCACTTGAGCCCCACAGCACCACTTCTAGTTTTCTGGTGATTAATTGGAGATAAGAATCTCACAGACTTTCCTGCCCGACCTGCCTTTGAACCTTGATCCTCAGATCTCAGCCTCCTGAGGAGCTAGGACTACATGCATGAGCCACCTGCACCTGGCTTAACCTCAGTTCTTAATTGTACCACCAACCGTGCACGAATTTAGCAAGCACAGAGTACTGAAAAACAAAACAGAAAGAGAATTTTCTTTAGTTTTTTCATTTCTTCTTTCTTAAAGAAGAAATGTAGCTCAAGTAAATATTACATAGACTAATTCATGAATTAATGAATTGAATACATTGCCATTTTCCAGCATTTAACAAAGAGCCTGGCTCCTTTGGATTTTATGTAAATATTTTCTCCTTGGATTTGAAAAATAGTACCCTGTGGTGGTTTCATGAGCTAGTTGGCAATTACGCATTCAATAGCCTTTGGCTCCTCTCTGCTCCTCCTGGGCTGTCTCTCTTCCCTTTCTTTTCTGGCCTCTTTCTTCTTTCTCTTTCTTCTGCTTTCTCTTTGTCCTTTTCCCCCTGAGTTTCTCTGTGTTTTATCAATAAGACCTTTCAAAAATCAGTAGAACTTTTTTGAGCGCAAGAAAGGATCTTTAACAGCTTGAGTTCAAAAGGTAGCCATGTCAACCTTTGATTTTCCCAAAGGAAAAGGTGGACATTGAATTATTTTGGATAATGTGAAGAAGAGTGAAACGGAGAGGAGCTCATTTCAGAGCTGAGTTCAGAAAAGGGGCAGTTGTAGAGAAGGTGACTCCTGTTGAAGGGACTCAGATCCAACCCAGTCCGCTCTCTCCCTCAGCTCCTTCAGTAGGCATTTCAGAAGGCCTTGTGCCAGTCTCTGGGCCAGGCACAGGTGCTGTGAGGGCAAAGATCTTGACACCGTGTGGGTACCTGCCCTGTTCCTGCCTTACTGCCACTGAGCATCTTTGCCAATAAACTCCTTGTCTTCAGGGAGGCCCATTCTGAGGACAGGGCACTGAGGGCTGGTGCAGTTTTCTCAAGGTTGGGAGGCAAAAGAGAGCAGCTTCTCTCCTAATCTGTCTGGGAAGGTTGGAAACAGTTTACAAAGTTGTCAACCTAGAACTGGACGCTATGGCTCACATTACTCAGGAGGCTGAGATCTAAGGATCTTGGTTTGAAGTCAGTCTGGGCAGAAAAGTCCATGAGATGCTTATCTCCACTTAAGCAGCAAAAAGCAACTTAGCCATTGTTTTCTTTCCTCTTAAGTGTGTATAGAATCCATGTGTATAGTATTGCTGTAGATAGAAAACCTATTGTCGCTAATTTGGACAACTTGAAAATTTTCCTGATTCTCTGCTCTCAATCTTATTCCTTCTCTACAATTGCTGAAATGATCTTTAAGGGTCTTTGAAAATCAAGGCTAAATTACATTGCTCTTTTGCCTACTAAACTTTCTGTTCTTTATAATTAATTTCCCAACATTTTCATATGCAGTGCAATGTCCTGGGTCATTTAGTCAGATTTTACCATTCCTTTCTCGCCCAGCTCTCAGTGCTGTTTCCTTTACTCATACACACACACACACACACACACACACACACGCACATATGTATATATATGTGTATATATATATACAGACACATATATATGTATGTAAATGTGTATCTATTCATGTATCTACTATGCTTATATGCATATATACATATACATATATAGTATAAGTTGTCTGTTTTAGTATCTTTCCTTCTCATATGTATTTGATAAATATATTCCTTTCTGAAAATATTAACTCAGTTTTGAAAACATTTTCTGATAAGTTCAGCATCTGGGTTTTCTTAGACTTTTCAGTCCTGTACTTTTCCCTGGAACTGATCATCTCTGTTATATTTATCTCCTAGCTGATCTCTTCAATTAGGCTCAATGATAAGAACCTCAGGGAACATGTGGTATGTAACTTAGTGAGCACATAGACCATTGAAATGGCAGATAAACAGGTAAAATGCAGGGCATGAACACCTAAAGATCATTATACGTTTAGGAGGGTTGGGACCTTATAAAGATCTTTATTCCATCTTTGTAGAAACTAAGGCTTGAGTAGCCATTGGACAAATGAAGGAGAACTTCATACTATTTATGCACGGAAAGGCCCATGCCCATGATATCGGCCATCAGGCCTTTGGCAGGGAACATTTGGGTTTGGTTAATAAGTAGCAAGACAGTGATCCCCAAATACCTCACTTTTAGCGAAATCTACTCCTGGTCAATTCCATTGGGAACATTCTTACTGGAGTCTCACTACCTCTCTCTGAATCTATTACCTTTCTTTTGTAGTTCTAAACTCTGCCTTACTTTCTTCCTTTTCCTGCTCTCTGCCAATCATTAACCACACCTTGATCACACTCTAGTGGTCCGAATTAAGTTGTCTCTAATTAGTTTAGCTCTATATTTCATTTAGTTTCCAAGGTCAGACTAATACCCAGCTCCTGTCCCAAGTTCCAGGAAACTTCTCATATGTTTAGCTTACTGGGGGTTTCAGTGGTCCCACAAAGCAGTTTTCCTCCAAGCAAAAATCTGTGGGTTCACACCTGGCTTCCATTCCTGATCCTCATTCCATTCCTGAGATCCAGCCTCCTGAGTAGCTAGGACTGCGTGAGCCACTAATGTCAGGCATAAAATATCTTTTAGACATTTCTTTTTCTAAAGTTAGCTTATTATTTCTAAAGTTAGTCATTGTCTTTCCTGAATTCAGAAAACTTTCATATTTCATGTTCTATGTTCCTTGAATCTAGTCTTCATTCAGCCTGATAATAAATACTTGCCAAAATTGCAGTGCGTTTCTGAATAGAAGTACTCTATTCATACTAATATATCACTATGATAGAATATTAAATTAAGTACATTTGAAGAATGAAAACAACATAAATTTATTTTTTGTAAAAAGACAAAGTATTCAACCTAGAAATGAATCTGAAGAGTTGGGTGATTAGTTTGCATCTTCACATTTGACCATTTGCCTGGATACAAATAAGGGCCAACAGTTCTAGTCTCTTTCTTTCACTGAACTTGATTTGACTCCTTTGCAGTCACCATAGCAACCCTGATAATCAACACATACACGGGCTGTGAAGTGTGCGCTGAAAACTTTCCAGCGTTAATAATGAGTAGGTATGAACTCCATTATATGAGTCTCTCTCAACAAGCTACTACAAAGGGTAATTCTAGGGTAGCATGTGTTTCTCATAGGACACACCAAGAAAGTTTAATCCTAGACAGTAACCTTCACTCATTTATATCCCCCCACTCCTACCCCACGATAATACATGACTAAAACCCCTTGGTCTACTTCCTGCTCTGATGGTGATCAATATAGTTTGTTCTACATCTTTCAAGTTTAAACAAAGGAAGTAACATTGGAAGGCAAATATTGCTGGGGCAGACAACTTTTCCTTTAGCAGGAATGCAAGCCTCAGCTGCTCTAATATTTAACAGAAGCACTTTTCCTATTCTCTTACCTGTTTAATCGCTTTTTTTTTTAAAATCTAGGCCAGCTTGCTGGCTCTGTGGCTGGAATTTTCTCTAATTAGAAGGAGGTTGTCTTGATATCTGAAGTGTTTAAACCTGCAAGCATCTTACCTAGAACCTGCATCCCAAAGTGGCATTTTTCATAAACAGCATTGCATGTTTTAGGATGAGAGGGAAATCTTTTAGATCTCAGTTTTATTTGGGCCTTCTACCATGTTGCTTTGATATGAAGCGAATGGAGCTTGAACACTGATTTCATAACAAAAAAATAATAACTTTAGTTTGGTTGGATAGTACTTAAAACCTTTTCTAAAAATTAGGGTTGTTTTTTTTCCTCATCAAGACAATTTTATATTCAAGAGTAGTTATTATTCCTTCCATTTAACTTGTTGGGTAAGTTTAATGATACGTTAATAATTATTAAAGTGAATTGGGAACTATTTTGTATGGCTGGATTCTTTTACAGCTCTAAAAAAGAGTTTTGAAATCAAAGCCTCTTTCCAAATATTATTTATGGTTTGTTGCTGCTTCTTCTTCCTCCTCCTTTTACTTTTTCTTCTTCTTCTTCCTCTCTCCTTCTAAAAAAAATTGTTTTCCTTTTCAGACATAGCATTTGTGAAACCTTCTCTACAATTTGCTCAATCCAGCTGCCCTGTAATTCTGTGTATCACAGAAACACATGAGGGCAAAGCATGCACATTCAGTAATCATACTGGTAATTGCTCTCGTTGGTTCCTTTGGTGACAAGGGATCTTACTGGACACTGATTTGTCTAGTCTTAAGAAATAGCACCCCAGATAAGAGACAAAGCAACTTGTGAAAGAAGGTCGGCCACTTATGTTGGAAAAACAAATGTAACTGGGCTGCATTTTGTATTTAACCAAGTGAATTATAGAATGGGGGTGTAAGACCTTTGTGAAAAGGATTTATCTTACACAAATATGCACATTGAGCTCTGTTGGCATGGAAGCAGGAGTTCTGTAAGTGCTCGGGTCTTACCACTTCTCTGAATTACATTCAACCCGTTGGGACGTGATGAAAGAATGCAAGGTATAAACCCCTCCAGGGGTTGTGAGTCACCATCTAGAAAGGTTCTTGAAAGGGTAAGAACATTTTATAGTTTGATCAATAGGAGTCTGAGAAGTAGGCTGCAGGGTAAAGACAAGTTGAGGATTAAAAAGTTTTAGAAACTTGAAGGATTGAATTACTGTCCAAAGAAAGTTCCCAGGAGAGAGACATTAGTATTATTTTTTTTTTAATAGCAGATCTCAACTAGCAAACTTTCTTCCAGGTCAGAATTCAGCCAAAGAACATTGGATGGTAGTAATCTGATCCAGTGGATGATGATATCCCAGATCCAGTACTGACCTGTACAAACACACAGTTTTTCAGAGATCTAACTGCCCTGCATAATGGTTTTGGCATAAACTGAGAAGAAATAAAAGGATGAGGTTGTGCCCTTCCAAATTAGACCAGCTGTTCTACAGAATACTCCAAAGGAAAAGGCCTTGGTTCCATTCTTCCAGCCCAAAACAATCTTTTATTTGAAATACCTATGATAGAATGTTTGTGAGGTTTTTCTGTCTAAGTCAACAAGTTTTTACACCATGAGAATTTAGATTATTTCTGTAAAGGAGAGGTCCATGGTCACAAATGCAAAACCAATTTCTACACTCTGAACAGATTCTTCTACAAACCCTACCTAAGAGGTGAGTGCTTACAAACTTAGACTTTGTCAGACTGTCTATGTCATTGACACAACTAGAGTAGGTCAGAGGGCTGGCTGCTCCATGCCATGTCCATAAGAAGCATTGGGCCTCTGTTCTGGGCAGTAGGGTAAATAGATGCAGTGGCCATCAAGATGGGGATGATGGCAAAGAAAAGAGAATCTTATGAAACAGCTCCATACCTTTGCAGTGGGAATCTCACCCAGCACTAAGCCTCATCTCACTCTTGAACCCAGAGGGGGCTTTGTGTCATTCAGTTCTTTGTGTCTCCAGTGAGTGTTCTGTGGAAAACATTGTCTTGATGATATACCAAAGAAAGCAATCAAGAGACAGAAGGGGAGGAAATGAAGGGGTCTGTCTACTTTGTTCTTCCTCTTGCATCAGTCCATTCAGGGGACTGGGCCTCATGCCTTCCTGGGTTCTGTGGACAGTTCCTCATCTGTACAAAGAACTGACTAATTCACAGCCAAGCTGTCTTCCATAAGACATGAAGAGCCTGTAATGCAGGTTCTTCCATTTTGGATCTGGTCTTTGGGTGAAGATGTGTGTATGAATTAGACATCAAGGAGTACCCAGAGGACCTTTGTAAAGCTTCGTATGACAGTTATGGCCACGTGATCTATTCATAGATGTTGTGCCACAAATAATACATTTAAAGCATTATACAAAAGACCTTCGCTGTGGCACTAAAACGTTTGCATGAAAAGAAACCGGAAAATAACTAGATATTTTAATTGAAATTAAGTACATATAGATGAGTCTATACTCATTAATAAGCATGTAAACTGTAAGATTAAGGAATCACTACTTAATGCTCACCCAACATCTTTAGTCTCCTTGGATCAAAAACTTATATTCTGCCTGCTTAAGAGGCTGAGATCTGAAGATCCTGGTTCAAAGCCAGCCCAGGCAAAGAAGTGGATGAGACTTTGATCTCCAATTTTTAAAAAAAAGCCAGAAATGAAACTGGCTTAAGTAGTAGAGCATACTAGCCTTGAGTGAAAAAGGTAAGGGATAATCCTCAGGCCCTGGGTTCAAGCACCAGAATCAGCACAAGGAAAAAAACAAAACAAAACAAACAAAGAACTCATGTTCACATAACTTGATACTTGATATAGGCCAGACAGAAGATACTTTCATAGACCCTCTTCCAAACCAGCCCTCCTAAAAGTGTGAGCTTCAGAAGAGGAAATAGAAGCACTCGGAGTATTGCTTTCCAAGTGCTGATTTTAGGCCTGGGGAAGCATACCTTCATGGAAGACAGTCATCTGAGAGAGCCAGAGTGGTAGGATTTGAACTTGACAAAGGGATACAGACTTCTTGCTCCCAAGTTTTCCATTGTCATTAATCCAGAGCAGTTTAAAAAAAAAAAAAAGGAAAGGAAAAGAAAAGGAAAGTAAAAAGCAAAAATCCAAACCAACATCTAGTTCTACTGCCCCAGGCAGTCTACCTGCATAAAGCAGTCTGGCAGCTCTCAGGTGTTCTGGTAGGAGTTTTCCCTGAACTCTGGCCTCAGGGCTTCTTAGAGCCTTTTAGAGAAACACCCTACAGAGCTCTAGCTTAGACCCACCCATGCTTTCCTGTCCTCTCCTTCAATTGCCTGTTCTCTTCTCAGATCCTTTCCCCAAGAATCATTCTGTTACAGAGATGCCCATTCAAATCCGGGCTCACAGCAGTAAAGGGTTTTTCACTCAGTCTGGGGGTGATTATAACATAGCTAGGTGCTCCTAGGTATGGGACAAGGTACACATACACACACACACACACACACACACACACACACACACTCACACACATGCACACACAGTCATGCACTCAAGCACACACACAAACCTGCCCACCGGTTTTCCATTCATAGTGCACATTTTTTAACTCCAAGGGATCCTTTGCATTTGAACCACAGTAGCTCACTTTAAGAGCCCAGAGTCGCTTATAACTGTCACTCAATTTCAGGAAATGAAATGGAGTTGAGAAGTTGCCCTGTTTATAAAAAAAAGTAAACTTAGAATGCCAGGAAAATGAGTGTTTGATCAAATCCTGACTCAAGTTTTTATTTCTATATCAAACTCTAGTTTGGGGGCTGGGTTGGATCTCACTTGCTAGGCAAGTGCAATGGCTTGGATTCGACACCCCCCCTCACCCCCGACCAAAAAAGAAAATAAACAAAAAAATGCTCTAGTTTTGTTTTCAAAAAGAAAAATGAAGGACAGTTGGTCACTGGAAAGCTACTTTCTGGAACACTTCTTCATATGGAATCCTACACAGATGTAAGTTTGTAGTTGGCAAAAATAGTGCAGTGCAATACCTTTGCTACTTAGTGTGTTTCAGTTCTTAACATGTGTGGAAAGAAAAGTATCTTGCATATAAATCTAGTTTAAACTCTGGTTTTAAGGAGTTTTACATGGTTGGATTGGCATTGCTTAATGTACAATTGAAAAAGTTAAGGTTAACCTAGAAGTCATTTAGAACTATGAGTCATGCTTCTGACAAGCCAATAAGGTAAGAGAACCCGAGTTGCAAAACAATTACTAGCCCAGCCTGAGGGACCCTGGAAATATATTACAGGTAGCAGTTAAGAAAACAAATCCAAAGTGTCTTGCCACGCTGCAGAGGACAGGCTGAGTTTGCTAACTAACCGACCCAAATAACTTTGCACTGACAATGCCAATTTTCACATTTGTTTCAGAACCAGGGCCGCTCAAACCATCAGAGGTAAGATTGATGTTTAAATTTTGTTTTATATAAGCTTTGTATTCCAAGTTGTTTACTAACCTAAGCAGGCTTGCACCTTTCCAATGTTCGATGTGCTATTTAAGATGATCCAGAGAGATGGAATAGAGTAATCCTCTATGAAATTCCTTGCGTGAAGTCAGAGGAATTGTCGGTTTTAGTTTGGAAGTTTTAGGTTGAGGGCACACGTCGCTATTTTGACTCTGTGTGAAAGAGAACTTTCTGTGGGAAGGAATGATGCTCATCAGTGCAGGAAACTGGTAGACTTCTCTTCTGTCCTGAAATGTTTTATCCAAACCCAGCATTCGCCTATACTGATAGTTCTCATATTGTTGCTGCTAGGATATTGTTTCACATTTCTAGCAGCTTTCTATTTGAGCAATAACACGGTTTGCACCATGTCCTATTGGTCACATCAAGATCCGGTAACATGTCTGTTTGCTTGAATGCAGTTTAACTCGTCATGATTTAGAAGTATGCAATCCTTGTTACCTCTTGGAATAAACAACTTGAAAAAGTAGAAAAGAATGAAAACTTTGACTGACATATTCTGAACACCATTACATTGGCCATCAGCCAAGAGTGACAATTTTTTTAACCTGATAATGCAAAATTATAGAAAAGACTGTTTGGAAAAATAGTATAGGGAAATGCAATACAAAAATGTGTGTTTAGTAATATGAAGCAAAAATACAGTAGTCTGAGAGTTTCTGATTAACAGGATGACAAAAATGTCATTTAATATGTACCAATTATTCTTATTTAAAAATTATACCAAGCCCCTGAACTAAAAAATAAAAAGCAAAACTCTATGAAAGTGATATATTATTATGTTCTTTGTGTATGTATAATCAATTTGTATTTACATAGTTGGTAAAAATAATGAAAAGTACAACAAGATGTCATATGGGACACGTGTTCCTATTTGGGGGGCTGCAGAAGAACATAATTTACATAAGAAAGGGCTTAAGAATCTGATACAATTCTTTTTTTCCCCTCTTCTTTTTTATTATCTTTAAGTAGTTGTTCAAAGGGATATCAATTCAACCTATCAATTTATGAGTACAATGCATGGGAAACAGCAATTTAATATATAAGTTGAGTTTACTTTATAATCCAGAGCTAGATGAAAAAATATATAACAAGGCAAAAGTATTAAAAATAACAGGCCATAAAGTTCTTTCAGGCAAACAAATTAACCACAATTCCTTTTAGTGTTTCCAAATGGAACTTGAAAAAAAAAATGTCTGTGTGATCAGTGTTGTTTTGGTAACATGGTTTTGTCAAAGCAGCCTTTTCTGCCTTCCTTTCTCACCCAGTCTGAATTCTTGAACTCTGAACTTTGTCTTGGTATTACTTAACATTTATCCTATTAGATACATGTATTATTATTTTTTCCTGAGAAAATGATGAGGCAATGTGAAATAGTTGCATTTACAGAAATGAAGTGTGCTAATAAGAAGTGGTTAATTTTTCACATTATTAATTCTCCAGAACACTTTATACTCTTCAAACTTTCACATAAGCCTATTAATGAATTAATTCTCACATTGGTGTTTTTAAATGTAGCATCATTTTTAGAGATGGTTTTTTTTTGCTTAAACATAACAAGTATAATTTTATTTAATGTGTGACTACACTAATAATGTCTACTTTGAGTGAAAAAAATCTCTTTTGTCAAGCTACTTGGAAATCTTGGTTGATTTAAGGAAAAGGTATAGCAAAGAATATTAAGAATGCAGTTTTTTCCCTTTTTTGGAAGACCTTCTTTCTTACTTTGTACTGGTTTAGAATTCTCTTTTGTCTCATTTTCAATACCTATGATTGTGAATTTTTTTTTAATTATATGTCTTCCTCAGGGTAGGTCAGTTTTCAATAGCTCCACGACTCATACATAGGTCTCTGTAACAATTCCTGGACATTTTTATCTGACATCCACTATAGCTCTCTATATGACTCTCTCTGACTATAAGATGTGAGTTTATCATTACATACCTGCTCAGCTACTTGTATTCTAGTCTCTGGTGCCATTTAAAACAGAAGGAGCAAAGCCAGCTTCCATGTAACAAATGGAGCTTTGCTTGTTTTATTGGTAAAATCAGCAGAGAGAATTAGTTTATTTCCCCAAAGAGATAAGAAAAGACAGAGAGATTATTGGACACTAAGAGTATTTTGTTAAAGGCAAAGACAAGGTAATAGATAGTGAAACAAGAAATATTGGTAGTGCTTATAGAGTTAGGTGTGCCCTTCCCCCACCCCCTAGTAGATCAGAAGAGACTGAGAAGGGCCAAGGATGGGTTTCCTAGTTTTCCTGGAGTTTAACTGAGAGCCTCCAGAGAAATCCATAGGTCCTTCTTGCCTTCCCTCTTCTTTCCAAAGTCTTGAGGCTCTAAGTTAGGGGTGCCAGGATAACGGTTGAAACACATTCCGAACAACTCAAATAGTATAATTCCTTAGAAAAGCCAAGTCAAAGTTCAACAAAATAAACTCTAGGAAGCTGGTACTTGAAAGGGGGAGGAGAGGAGGTGTCAAGGGGAAAGGGGTAGATGAATGAAGAGAGGAGAGGGAGAATGCAATCAAGAATTCAATGTACTGGTTACAGAATTAAGAAGGGTGCAGGAAGGGAGACATGGGTGAGAATGTTGAAAGGAGTGAGATTGCTCATAATGCATTTATTCATAAAATGCTTTGTGAATGGCTATCCTTTGTATAACTATTTAAAAATAATTAAAAATATATTCCATTTTTTTATAATACAGAATGCATTTTAGGGGCTTTTAAAGTACAGTAAATCTCAGTTTATCCAAATGAGCTAAATACCTAAAATTTCTCATTTTTAAAATCTTCTACGTTTTAAATTTCATTCATTGGGTTGGGAAGGTGACTCAGTGGTAGAGTGCTTGCCTAGCATGCATGAAGCCCTGGGTTTGCTTCCTCAGTATCACCTAAACAGAAAAAGCCAGAAGTGGTGCTGTGGCTCAAGTGGTAGAGCACTAGCCTTGAGCCAAAGAAGCTCAGGGACAGTGCCTAGTCCCTGAGTTCAAGCCCCAGGACTGGCAAACAAAACAACACGAAACAAAACCCTCCCAAAAAAACACAAAACAAAAAAACCCCGAAACTTTTACTACATAGTTTATTCTAGTGTCTGCCTTTTCTGTAGAAAAGTTTTTGTTTTGAGAGTGACTGATTTGCAACAGCTTTTCACCAGGAACACTGAAAACACAAACGGTAAGACAAGACTATAGCATAGGTGTCTGACTATAATCCACCTACTTGGGAGGCAGAAGCAGGATAATTCTTTATGTCCAAGAATAGTGAGACCCAATCTCCAAAACAACCAACCTCCCCAAACAACAGCAACAACAAACAGCACAGCAATAACCTAGAAGCAGCATTTATCTTTGATGTGAATTGAAACATTCAAATTTCCATGAAGTTAATAATAATGATAGTACTCATAAGCTATCATTTAAAAATCCTTGCCAGTTGACAAGAACTATTCCATGCATTTAACATAAATGAACTCACTGAATTCTTCCCAGCAGCCCTATGAAACAAGTGTTGTTATGATATCCACGTTTTATAGAGGATAAAACCAGAAGAGATTTGATTTTGAACTCAGTTGTCTTCACTAATCTATACTCTGAATACTTGCATAACCATTAAAAATCTTCAGGGTTGCTCTTGAACTCAGGTTCTCTTCTTACTTAAAGTTTTTACTTTCAAACCAGTCAAGACGTGGGGAATTCTAGGACTCACACCAAAACGTTGAATTTCTTTCTTACCTCCCATGGCATTTGGTAGTCAAAAGTCAGTGGAAAGAGGTTCTGGGATATGTGACAAATAAATAGAGGCAAGAGAGCTGTCATTGTTTACTGTCCTGCTGAAAATAATGCCATTGGTGTTGTCCAATATGGAGATGTCCAAAAGGTTTTGTGAAATTCCAGGTAGAAAAGAGTTTTGTTTTGTTTTCCCTTTGAAAGCAGTTTGCTTTTTATGTAACTGTCAAGATTCCCCTTTCTAGTTCAGCCACCTAGAAGTCCTGAGCAACATTTTTCTCTCCTTCACAGGACTCTTTTATTATCGTTTCCAGTAAAGTGATCTGTCTTGCTCAACAGGACTTCAAATGATGATTTTAATGATCCTATTAGTCTCTTACGAATCTCTTTTCAAAATAGTGGGGGTAAAAAACAAAAGTTACGTTTCTAAAGTTTTTCCAATTGGCTTTCACCTGAGAACCCAGGAAATCTGCTAGGTAGGGCTGCCATGCCCTTTTGGAAGCCTGAAAAACCCTGTTTTTACAATACCCCAAAGAACTCATGGCTGATAAGCAAGGCCTAAGTGTGTGCTCAATGCAACCGTGCCTCACATCTCCACCCCAGACACAAACCCCAACATAAAAAAAGAAAATTGCTGTGGTGAAAATCTGAATCATGGGTGTGGCCCAGACTCAGCTTCTCATTCAGTTGTAAATGAGAAAAAAGTAAAAACAGTCAAGCCCTTCTTAATTAGAGATCGCCACATTTATTAGGTGGGGATGAATTCAATGCTTGTGAAATCAAATGTGTAATTGTATATTTTCAAAGCTTTTTAAAAAATCTTTTGGTTTTCATTTTATGTGTAAGTTATAGAATATACAGTTGTTTTTTCTTTTTCTGGATTTGTTTTCTATCATGAGGATCCACAGTTGGGCCCCTGTAATCCTAGCCACTCAGTAGGCTGAAATCTGAGGATCATGGTTGGAAATCCAGCCCAGACAGGAAAGTCTGTGAGATTTTTATCTCCTATTAACCAGCAAGAAGCCAGAAGTGGCTAGAGCTTCGAAGCAAGTGGTAGAGTGCCACCCTTAAGCAAAACAGCTAAGGGACAGCGCCCAGGCCCGGAATTCAAGCCCCAGTACCAGAGCAAAAAATAAACAATAAAATAATGATTCATTTTGAAGGTTTATAGACTGCATGTCTTCACAAACTGCTTAAAAATAAAGTCTTTTTCAAGTATAGTTTATCCATGATGAAGCACCATTCTCAACTTGGTGTGTCCTATAAGCAGAGCTTTGGTATTTTGTTTTGAGATACCTTCAGCCACTGGTGTATCAGAGTCCACCCACCTAGCTGAGTTCAAGATCAGCGTAAGGCAGTTGCTTATAATCTTAGCTGGGACCATTTTCCACCCAACAATGGCTGCCTGGCTTTGTCTTATGACCTTCAGTCACTATGAGTTTAAAAAAAAATTAAAAACGGTGACAATGTCTGTAGAGTTGGTAGGAAAATATTTCTCTTTGATATCAATGACTTATAAGAATATTCAAAGGGAAGACTTATTGGAGAAATAATGAAGTTAACTTACAAAAATAACAGTTAAGAGCCTTTTTCCCCCTCTCAAATGTATCCATGCTTTACACTGGAAAAAAAAATGCCAGTTTGATTGACCTTCACCCAAAGGTCAATCTATCAGAGGTAATATGATTTCATAATGCTAAATCACCAACACATCTTTGTTTTGTTTCCTTTTCTGCACAGAAACGGACCAATGGACTCCGAAGGGCTCCCAGACCAGTGGATCCAGGTGTGTCTCTGATTGTACATCCTGTAATGACGTCAGTGAAGTGACTGAATGCATACACAAATTGCTGGAGAAAGGCCATTCTGATTGTTTGGCCTTTGCTCCTTGCAGTTTGGTATATACTGGGTGACCAGGAGGTGAAGGTCTAAAGTGTAAATCATTCACAAGTTGAATAATCCCCAGTTCCACACTCCACAGCTAGCAGTTGAGCTGGTTATTTGCTTACTGAGCAGCCTCAGAGTGGCTTGTGAATGCCAGTCTACCTAGCACCCTCTCCTTTCTCCCTCTTAATTATGTAAGAAATTCAGCTAGCAAAGTGGCACTTAAAAATTGGTGTTTTGAGGGGAAAGCATACAATGGGAACCCTCCCTATTTAGGAGTTTCTTTATTCTGTATGTATGTATACATATATACATACATATACTTACGTATACATATACACACATATATATGCACACACATATATGTATATGTATATTTACATTTACACCTATACATATGTATATATCTATTTATCTGTATATGATTTCATAACAGAAGCATGAGTCTAAGACTTTCTGAACAAGGGTCATTTTGGAGACTAATGTTTCACCTGCAGCAAAGTTATTTTCTGATTAACTTTGTGAGATTTGCCTTGTCTTTATGTTACCATTTACTTCTTTTTTTTCTCCTTCCATGGTTTAATGAGTGAATATTTTGTTCTGTACCTGATCATCTAACACTTGTAGGTAAAAGGTATTCACCGGTCAAGAAGACCAGACACACAACCTCCCCAGAGTAAATCTCAGGGCAGCCTAGCTGGAGAATAAAGTGGATTGTGTGCTTTGTTTTGTTTGCTGTTCTTAAGCAGTGTTCCCCTAGTTGTAAAGTTTAGTTTTCAAAGCATAATAGCTTTTAACTGAAACCACACCCATCATTAGCCCAGCTAGTTTATGAGCTGTCTGAGGTTTATATAGGAGCATTGTTGCCTCTGGCAAGAAATTGCTTCACATGTTTAAGATCAGTTTAAATCTTTTAACTACGGGAGTTTAAAAAAGAAAAAAAAGAAGCCATGAAAACATAGGGTTCTGGTTTACTATTTAATAACCTGACTTTCCCAAGGCAATCTACTTTGCAGGGGATGCTGATAACCTGTACAAGTGGCTTCTACTTGGTAGGAGTGTATGACTGTGAACATAGGAATTTTTTGGTATGGGCATTGTATTTCTTTTTCAGAATGCCTTCTAACCTTTACAAATGTTATTTTTAAATGTCCTTTCTTTCTTCTATGGGTATTTTTATTTAGTCTATTTCTCTCCAGAGAAGTAGATTTCTCTGTGCATAATGTGTCAGTAGGGACACAGTTAATTCTTAGCAATTTACTTTATAGCCAGAATTTTCCAGGATATTAGATTATGTGAGAGGAAACTACAGAGAATTCACCAAATCCAAATATGGCCAGATAGATCAATCATAAAATGAATTTGTACTCTTTTAACCTAAAGGGGATGGCTTGCTATAGATACAACTCTTCTGGTATTTTAATTCATAGATTTTAAGAACTTTGTGAAGACTAAATTTACAAATGTAAGAGTAGTACTCTTGTATGTTGTGTTGTAAAACTATGCAGAATAGTTTTCTACTAGGCACGATTAAGAGCGTCTGATTACATTTCTCATTTTTTCCCCCACATTAACAGAATAGTTGATGATCTTGTTGAAATACCTGGTGAGGTGACATCCCCACATCCCCCTTTTCTTCCAAGGGGGGGGGGCAGCTTTGGATTTAGGCTTGAATTATGTGTTTGGTTGATTTTTATCTTCCTGCTTCTTTCCACTGGCCAGTTGTCAAGTTTCTTTTTTTTTTTTTTTTAATTGTGAAAATACCGTACAGAGGGATTACAGTTACATGGGCAAGGTAACGAGTGCATTTCTTATCAAGCATTGTAGCCTCCTCCTTTGTTTCCCCTTCTCATCCCTTCCCATCCCCCGCCCCCCATCAAAGTTGTAAAGTTCGTTTTTCGACCTAACGTCCTGTACATCTCATTGTTGCAATGAGTCCACCTGTATCCCTATTTAAACAATTTGTTTTTTCCCTTCCCTTCCACAAATTATACCAACATCAAATACAGTGAAAACAGGGGTTATACTGTTGGGGAGGGAAATACTCTCTTCAGAGTTAACTCCTGCTGGGTAACTGTCTTAAGTGCATTCTGATGGGGCTGTTGTTCAGCAGATTTCCACACTTGTGGGGTATGTTTTATCCAAGTTGTTTCAAAGTTGAGACTTCAGGATTGCTTCCAGGAACATTCTGTTTTACTATGGAAATTCATTTGATTTTTTTTAACCTCCCTTTTCTAACTAATTTTGTTTACATCTGCAACCACTAACACTCTGACTACTTTCCAGGCCCTCCTAGCGTGGCTTATAGAAAAATAAAAATTAATCAGTTTGTGGAACCAGGTATAAGCACTTCATCAGGTTCAAATTTCAGAGTCATGCGCAAAGGTGAACCACATACCTTTTTATAGACCTTCTATGTAGAAGAGAACTTAATGCATAGTTGTGTTAGAAGTAAGGACTTACTACGTTTGAATTGGTGGTGACTATATATTGTTTTCTGTACTGGGTTTTTAAGGTTTTATTATTCCTCTCTCTGATGTACTAATGGACCATGCCACAGACTCTGAGCCACATTTCTCTGAGCTTAGGATTGGACTTAGCTATTTTTTTGCAGGTTGACCTTGGTCAGATTACTTTCTTTTCATGTACTCTCCTTTTCTTATTTGTGAAAGTGGGCAAATAACAGTATCTACCTTACAAAGTGCTTATGAGCATTCCATGAGGTAATACAGACAGAGTACTTTTGAAAGTACCCAATATGTAGTAAATGCTATGATAGTATTTATTCCATTAATGAATTTGTATCAGAGCATACTATGTAGTATTGGTCATTTTGCCATGAGGAGAATCTTTGTTATTTGCCAATCATCCTATCATTGTAAACATACCTTGAATGCTGAGTTTCCATTGAAGCAAGAAATTACCTTACAATTATTTTCAAATCTTCCTTTGTTCCCTGCCATTGAGTAGCTTTGATGATCTTTTGTTTACCTTTACAGATTGAACAATAATTGTTGAAGTCCTTTTTTTACATTAAATTATTGGTGTTTATAATTATAATAAAGAAAATAAGCCCCCAGGTTGAATTTACATTGTACAATTCTTTTTAAATTCAAGAATGATGTCAGCCCAACCACTGTATTATATATGGCTTGTTAGTGCATTTAAAACTCTCTTATTAATAATGGCGCTTAATCTTTACAGACAATATTTGCAAATGGCTTTTCTCTATTTCTTTTTCTTCTATTGTGTGCTAAGCAACATACCAACTTATAATCTGGACTGTTTCTAAAAATATAATAATGTGCTAGCTGCATAATCTGGAGGCTTCTTTGAATTGCTTAAATAGAACAGGGTATTTTCATCAACTTGTACTTGTGTTTCTGAGACAGATGTTGGGATCAGGGAAACAACACTTGTAACAGACAGATCAATTATTTCAGGAACACGGAGGTGCTAGGCTTGAGATCATAAATCTCAAGAAAAATCCAAGCACTGGTGTAATATTTTTCACCTAAAATGGCACTCAAGGTCAAAGTTACCAATTAAATTTTAATACTGACTGAGCTTTAAAAAAATTCCTTCCATCTAAGTATAAGATTTATTTCCATTTGCATGTGGCAAGTCTGTATGCCAGGGTGTGTGTGCTTTTCACTGAGTATATGTTTTTAGACTTCTGCAAAAAGATATCTTATATTTGTGTATCTCTGCATCCCGTATTGAAGTCCTCAGTCACTAGCGTTCAGAACATTTAGGTGTATTGTTTGGTGTTGTGCTGCTTACAGATTAGATGGATTGATGAAAAATGTTTAGGTAGCTCACTCCCTTTCTGAGCTGAAGATACATCGGTGATCTGTGGTAACCTTGAATGGTAAATGGACAGATTATAGTTAAATTGATGAATTCTTTCTGAGAGCTCCGGATTCACTTGTGCTTTATCTCTTTGATTAAAAAAGATACCAGTGACTTACAACGGCTGAGTTCTTACTCACCAAGGAGTTGTCTTAACCATTTCTTAGCAAGAAGCATCTTTCAAGATATTCACTTCCTCTTTTGAGTAGATCAACATTTATCCATTTCGTGTGTGTGTGTGTGTGTGTGTGTGTTGAACCTGAGTCCCTGAGTTTGTGTGCTCAAGGCTAGTGTTCTACCACTTGAGCCACATCACCACTTCTGGATTTGGGATGATTAATTGGAACTAAGAATCTCATGGACTTTGTTGCCCAGGCTAGCTTTGAACTGTGGTTCTCAGGTCTCAACCTCCTGAATAGCTGGGATTGCAAGTGTGAACCACTCATCACCAGTGCCCAGCTTTTTCTTTTTTCTTGGTCTTATATTAAGAAAGGAATTCAGATAACTTCTTTTTCTTTTTTTGTTTTGTTCTTTTGTGCTGGTACTGGGGTTTTGAAGTCAGAGTTTTCTCAAGGCAGCACTCTATCATTTGAGTCACATCTCCACTTCCAGGTTTTGTTTTTGTTTTTTGGTCAGTTATGGGGCCTGACCTCTGGGCCTGGGCGCTGTTCCTCAGCTCTTCAGCTCAAGGCTAGCTCTCTACCACTTGAGCCACAGTGCCACTTCCGGCTTTTTTCTTTTTGCTTATGTGGTGCTAAAGAATCGAACCCAGGGCCCCATGCATGTAAGGCAAGCGCTCTACCACTGAGCCACCTTCCCAGCCCCCACTTCCAGGTTTTTACTGGTTAATTTGAGATAAAAATCTCAGGGACTGCTTGTTGGTGATCCTAAGATCTCAGCCTCTTGAGTTGCTGGGATTAAAGGTGTAAACCACTAACAACCAGTTTCAAGTAATTTTTTCTTGCATTAGCAGTTTCTTGTCTTATGTGACAGTAAGCTTAGCAATGTTACTAATTAAAGAAACATGCCACCCCCATTCACCAAATTTAT